AGGCCCTAGCACACCCTGTACATATCTAGGCCCTAGCAAACCCGGAACATATCTAGGCCCTAGCAAACCCGGTACATATCCGAACCATAGCTCACACGGTACACATCTGGACCACAGCAAAATAATTTAAATAAATAACCATAGAAAACCGACTACAGATTGGTATGAAACAAATTTAAGCTAAATGAAGCTGCAAGGCTCTGAAATAATGATGTACAGCTTGTGGATATTGTATAATTATTTGTCTTAGAAAAATGCATGTCTTTGGTCATAAAAATGGAACTTTCTATTTATCATTAGTATTTTATTTTCTCTGGCTCCCGATGCCAAGTAGCCAAAGTTTTTCTGTATATTTTTATGTGGATCTTTTCTAAGTTATATCACAGTATTTAATAACACTGATATAATTACAACTGTTTACATTTCGACATGCGCAAAATAAAAGCTAAATGCATTATTTTTTTTCAATTCATTAATTAATTTTTTAAAATGTTTCATAATCTTTGTATTTTCAATTAAACTCGACAAGCGTGAGATAAAGTGAGAGTGTGTTTCTTGTACAGAGAGAGAGAGAGAGAGAGAGAGAGAGAGAGAGTTAGAGAGAGAGTGAGTGAATGTGCATGTGTGTTACTTGGTCAAAATTAGATTAATACTGGCTAGAAAATTAATCTTATTTGTACCGATTTGAGATAATAAAATTATGTTTTCTTAAGTTTAAGAATACCAACATCTTTTAAGCCAGTAAAATTAAAAACTTAGAGAACTAAAGCGAGTGTCATGCAAAAGTACAGACATTAACACACACTTGCTTTAGAAAAATCCTGATCATCAACTGGCCAAACAAATTTAAGATTTAAAGAAAAGTAGCCGAGTAACTGTATCATGTTATTTGAAATTATTATTTTAGCAAAAATGCATAGCTTAGATACAAAATAGTTTTTTATCGAGTACTATTGTACATGAAAACTTGTAAAATGCATTATTGTTTGGGGCCTCAGAGTAGGAAACAATTGTTTTCTGTTTTTGAAATTGTGGATGCACTGCTATTTTCTCTTTGTGTAGAAAATAATTGCTCAATTTCGCGCACATTTTTCATTGTTGTGTGCACATCTGATTATCTCACAGGGAACATTGATCTCAAACATGCTTAATATTTGATCCAAACAGCCTCTCACAGGCAAAGAGGCTTACAACCTTCAACTGGGTTAAAGTGAAGTGCAACCAGCATGTATTTGCTATACAATTTGGGAACTTCTATTACACATTAAGTTGCTTACAATGATGCTAGAAAAGACGTAATAAATGTAATAAAACAATTTTAAATATAAAATTAAAAGTCAATTTTAAAAGCGAAGTTTAAAGACAATTTTAAGTATAAATTTAAAAGTCAATTTGAAATGCAAAGTTAAAAGTCAATTTGAATTGCAAAATTAAAATGCTATTTCACATACAAAGTTAAGATTCAATTTTAAACGCAAGGTTAAAAGTCAATTTTAAATACAAAGTTAAAAGACAATTTTAAATGCAAAGTTGAAAGTAAATTTCAAATACAAAGTTAAAGGACAATTTTAAAAGCAAAGTTAAAAGACAGTTTTAAAAGCAAAGTTAATAGCTAATTTTAAATGCAAAGTAAAAATACAATGTTAAATTCAAAGTTTAAAGTCATTTTTAAATACAAAGTTAGATTTCAATTTTAAATATAAAGTTAAAAGACAAATGAATGCAGAGTTAGATGTCAAACCTAAGTGAGTGAAACGTTTAAAAGATAAATATAAAAACGATCATTGTTCGAGCTCAATAACTAATCAGCTGTGTCAGCAACAGCTTATACAGAAGACAATGTAGTCATATAAAATAAAACCTTGAATATCTATGTAACGCATCCATGTATAATTTACAAATGACATCAGGTGTGCAATTTAGTGAAAATAAAAATAAAACATGGCGTTTAAGCTATTAGCGTACTCAGAGATTATCGCAAAATCTATTACACTAGATATAGCCCGCCAAACATTGGCGACAGCAATGCGTGAACTGCCAATCTACTAAAGTTACTTGATAAAAAAATGAACTCAGGTAACGCACTTTTAAGAATCCCAATTTTCGCTACACCTCTTCCCCCATGATACGTCACTGCACACATTTTATTTCACGCCCATGAAATTTCTCAAATATTCTGTCGTCCCAACCACTTTCAAACCAATTATTTTTTAATCCATATTAAATTGAGACGTTTTCATTTTCTGAAAGAAAAAAACAAATTACGCCACAACGCAATTGCGTTAAATAAATAACAGATATCATTTAGCGTAGTAATCGGGAATTATATTTGCGCTCTATTGAACTCATTATTCAACCATAATTTCTTTCAAGCAAATATAATTATTTGTAATATACTCTCGCGTAATATATATAAGAGATTTTTAAAAGCATAGTTTAACTAGTCCTAAAAAAACTCTCGATTGTCTTAGTTTAGTTTATGGCTATTGTTTGTTTTTTTTAAACGGTTTATTGTTTTTTTTTTTAAAGACCCATGTCTACCATTGAGTTGTCTAGCTTTCAGCTATCTACCTTCTAGTTTTGTACCTTTGAGTTATCTACCTCCGAGCTATCTCTTATTTTTAAATTAAAAAATGTATTTACGTATGCACTACATAAATAATTACATCATGTCAGAAGTAATAAACAACACCTTATCAAACCAACGAAAAACACAAACCAAAACATAATTGTAACCATATTTAAATGAAGCGAGGAAAGTGTAAAATAATGACTGTAAATTAAGGATAATTTAATACGTTTGAATTAAAACGAGTTTATTTTGATACCTCTTCATTAATCTTTCTAACCGTTTTCGGTTAATTTTTAAAATAATTTTGTTTAATTACATAGAATAGCATTACATAGTTAAAACATTTTATTGTCTTATAATTAGATGCTTTAACGTCTTTTCACAATAATTTAATTTTAAGAGGTCGGTTGGCTGTAAAATTAAATAAGATTACACTTAGAGAATTCAACGCATGAACCATTAAATTACACATAACACTTATCTCCTGGCTAAGCCTTCTACAAAGTGCATGTTGGAAATTATTCACAAGTTATATACTAATCGAACTCATATCTCCTTATGATTTTCTCTGCTAATAGTTTTGAGAACTTACTCCAAAACAAAATAACATCTTACTCACATTTCAAAATAAATAGTTTTACCAATAGCACGCGAGAAGTGACTACAAAATTATAATACATTAAAATCATAACTCCTCATAAATAGTTATACAAAAAGCACGTGAAATCCATCCAATCATAATTCCTAACAAATAGTTCTACCAATAGCACGTGAGTACTGATTCCAAAATTAAATTCCAGCCCAATCATAAATCTTCCTCAATACTTCTACCAATAGCACGTGAGAACTGATTCCAAAAGTCGTCCATCATTTCATCAGACGCGACATCTCTTGGCGGGAATTCAATGTAGTTATTTTGTTTCATGGCGGTGAGCAGGTCACGTGATAAATTCCTGTTATCGGTTGGTTCGTACATGCACAGGAAGAGGACGGAACGGTGCATGAAGATCTCTTCCATCAGCGCCATCTTGACGCCATACACGGAATACTCACCTTGGTAAAACTCCGGTGTTACCATGGCAACAGTCTTGACACTGTTCTGCACGCCGCTAACGATGTTGGACACGTTGTAGGTACCCGGTAAAAAGTCTCTATCCTCAATACACAGACGGTGACCTCTTTTCTCCTCTAGCTCGTGAACACAATCACGCATGACAAATCGCTTTGTATCGTCTGAATAAAGGATGTAAGCATCGAATGTGTACCCGATCTTGACAGCACCGTATCTGGAGCCAACCAGTTTGACCAAAGCTATGCTCCGTAAATATCGCAGCTTCCATCGGTATCGATACATCAAGGAAGTGAGCAACAAAATACCGAATATGATGAAAGAAAAAACGCAGGTGAGAATTATGATAGTTTTTGAAGCACATTGACGCTGTAAAGTTTCCACACGTTGGGCGAGATCTCCAATTTCCAACACTTGGTCGTACTCATTCCTACACACGAGAAAATCCTGATTCAAAAGATAAACATTGGTCAAGGTCATCCATGTGATCAGCTCAAGGCCTTCGCACGTGCAAGGTAAAGGGTTAGAGGTCAAATCGAGGTAAACCCGATGGTCAGCTGCTAAGGAATCCAGTTCGCCCCGAGACTGCTTACTTATCGATGTGATTGAGTTTGTATTGAAGTCAAGAATTCTTAATGCAGTCATGTGCGCAAAGTTGATGTTTATTATCTGAAGTTTGTTTTTGGAAATGTCCAATACTTCAAGCTTGACCAGATCAATGAAGTAATCATTTGCTAGTTCTGTGATGAAATTCGTCGACATGTTGAGGGCAATGAGATGCTTCGTGTTTGCGAAAAACAAACTGTCCGTATCGTATTGAAAAGCAGTTCCTAATAAATTGTTTGAAATTGAGAGGTACTTCAGTGAGCTGTTCTCTGGGAAAAATTCAGGGTTAAAATCATTAGCGTAGTTGTTGCTATAATCTGCTATTTCTACGTCAGACATGAAGCACAGAGAAGCCCAATTATTAAAATCACCCCCAGCAAGACTTAACTCCCTTAGTGCGTAGCTCGGTATCTCAAAAAAGGCACCCCACATCGTGTTTCCGAAATTCCTAAAATTGTCTCCCCGTAAAATGCGTAATTTAGGCGGGAGGTAATCTTTTGAAACTTCCATATTTTCTATACTTTGATATTTCTTTTCTTGTCCTAATTTATTTTTTTTAAATGACTTTTCCGATTCACTAAATTTTGAAATGGGGGACTGGTTCGAGACATGTTTATTTCCAGCCCCATTCGACAATTTCCTCATGTGACTAGAATTAATTCCACTGTCATCATGGCATGGATAATAAACATTGTACTGATGGTTCAGGTTTAATTCGATGAGTTCTTTTGGGAATTTATCAAAACTGTCAAATATTTCATAGGACAAGCCGTTCCCACTTAAATCAATCTTCTTTAATGATGCTGGTAACTTTTCTATAAAATCTGGACTCAGGTAGGCAAGAAAGTTCTGAGACAGGTCAAGCTCAACCAACTTTAAAACGGCTAAGTACTTGGCATCTTCGGCTCCGAGTTCTTTGCAACCACACGCTCGGTCATTGACTGAACGCAGAGTTAAGTAGGTCAAAGAAGAATTCAGCAGATATTGAATGTCAATCAAAATCTGACATAAATTGTTTCCCGGAGCTGTTGCGATCGAATATGTAAAGTTAACCAAGTTTTTAAGTCTTGTATACGCCTTTGGCTCTATGGACGGTCCTATTGTGGACAATTGTAGCGTCGTTATAAAAGGGACGTTATCAAAATATGTTTCGTCGGTAATGTTAACCGCGTCTGGAGCTGTTATTATCAAATGCCTCAAGTGTATAAGACTCTTAATTTCTGGTCCTAGGCCATGAGTATCTGCGCCATCGACGCTAAGAACTTTCAGGTTCCTTAGCACACGAAGAGCTTTATTGGGGTATTTTCCACACATGTAGGTTCCACGTTGGCAGATCCAATTGATGTATATTTGTTCCAGATTATTCAATGGGATTAAGATACGAACAGGAATTAGGTCATGGCCCGTATAGATTATTTGATTGTAACTAATGTCAAGGTTGACCAGTGTTCCCAGGTCATCAAATGTGTCGTTGGCAATAAAGGTGATATAATTTTTTGAAACTGACAGCGAGCGCAATTTATAAAGTCCAGTAAACATCTCTCTGGTTAAATTTCTAATTTGATTATTATTTAGCGACAGTGTGAGCAGATTGGGGAAAAGAATAAAACTATTATCCTGAACTGTTGATATTATGTTCCGAGTAAGATCCAAGTTGATGACTGGAGAAGAATAATTTAATCGACCACTTCTAAGAACTTTAAGGCTTTCGGTCAAAATTTTGACATATGTCAGAGAAGTGTACATTACAAGGGTCATGCTCTCAAATACCTCAAGGCTGTCACAATTTTTAATAATTATTGCGTCTATTCCAACCGACCAATTTTGTGGGATACTTGTTAGTTTACAGTATTCACAAAAGACGGTCACAAAATTTGAACTGACATTTTGGCAAACGCACGGCGGGCATTTAAAGGAATTCTGTGGCTGGAACTTGACATTAAAATCTTCATATTTTTTGCCATTGTAGGACACCATCTGTGTTTTCTCGTCTTCTTCAAAGGTGCTCAGGAATGTTCTTAGGCTGTCGACGACACCTCGTGTAGGTTTGCAGTATATGTTTTCCTTCTCACCACTGTGGACTGGCTGCTTAAGTCCTCTGGGTAATCTAGAAGCGCTGTTACTCCAGGATGCAGGGTCCTTTGATGCGACACATTTTATGGTAATCACAAAATACATTAGTGCAGTGATCCTCAAGCAAGGCGTTATTGACGACATTCTATGGAAAAATCAAAACAAAATTCCCCTATTACAAGCACCATAAAGAAAAAAAAAAGGATTTTTTTTTGAATCGCTTTTCTAATTATAGCCCGAGGAACATTGTTGTTGTTTATGTGTTACAATACATCACGTAACTCAAGTGGTCTAAGAGCAAGAGGGAAAGAAATCCTCTAAATTTTGATAGTGAATTTGATAAATTGTCCCTTTTCATTTTACCATAAGCAATATAATGTATATGTGTATTTTAAAGGCAATACTATAATTGTAATGAACAAATGTAGTTTATTTTTCCAATAAAATAATTTAAAAAAATATTATCTGGTCAATATTTAGTTAATGATTTTCAATTGAAAAAAAAACAGTGTCCCCATGATATTTGCCGGCTATATAATGATATGTAAAGGACTACATCAGGAAAGCACGTAATTTACATTAAATAGCGGGAACCTTACTAGATAAATAAAAAAAAAATTAAGTGCACTTAAAATTTGAATAAAACATTTTAAAATAATGATCGCAAAACACACCCCCCCCCCAACCCCGAACACACAAACAAACACATTTTTTAAATTTTTTAAAAGTCTTTCGATAACATGCAGGCAAATTTATTCACTCAAAATTAATGAAAAAAATATATATGAACTCATCTGTTATTCAGGACTTACAAGAAATCGTCTTCTCTGTTAGACTTGCTATTTTAAAGTTTGCTATGTATGGAATTAAGTAAGGCTTCATTTTCTAGGCGAAAGCTTTGGAGCAGCGGTTCTCAACCAGTGGTTGGCGACCGCTTTGGGGGTCGAACAACGCCTTCCCATGGGGGTCGCATAAGACCATCGGAAGACACATGTGCTCTACAGTTATGAAGTAGCAACGACATTTTTTTGTTGGTGGTGTGGGGGTCGCCACAACATGATGAACTGCAATAACGGGTCGCGGCATTAGGAAGGTAGAGAACCACTGCTCTAGAGGAATAATATTCAACTCACCAGTCTTTTAACTCTAGGAAGTAAGAGGAAAAAACTCACTCAACTGTCAATCAAAAATTATTTTTGTAACTTCAACAGCGAATTTACTTTTATGAGTCGAGTAATTTCAATAGAAAATAGGTAAAAATACCTTTCACGGCACTGGATTTTTAAAAAGGAAATAACATTTATAACACAAACACGAAACTGACCAATTAAGGTACTAAAGTTGAGTACAATTATGATAATGGCCGCGCCAATGCTGATTGAAGACATTGGGATTATGGGTAGAAAATAATAAATCAAAATTGAACATCCGGAAAAAATCCCATAAATTGCTGATAAAGAAAATTAGGAAACACCGTGAGACATCATACACCCGAGGACTGGGTCACGTGCTGAGACATCATACACCCGAGGACTGGGTCACGCGCTGAGACATCATACACCCGAGGACTGGGTCACGTGCTGAGACATCATACACCCGAGGACTTGGTAACGCGCTTGCTTCGAATGGTGAAGGAATACACAGGTCCGTAGAAATATAGCAGATATATAAATGTTATTGTTATTATATAAATTCGCATGCTTCACGACATGACTTAACTGTAACTTCATGACATCACTTCAACAAACAAATTAAGCCTAACTTCAAGACATCGCAAACCCTAACTTCACGGCAATCATTTTATTAACGTCACGACACACACCATCGCTTAACACTAACATCACGACACCACTTAAACCTAACATCACAACACCACTTAACCCCAACATTAGGGCGTCCCAAAAAAATGAGGTTTTGAAATGTTGATGTCTCACCCCACAGAATATGTCTGTATGGTAACAGTAGTTAACCTGCAAAATTTCAGCTCATTTGGACAATGTTTAGAGGTCCCCCAAGAGGTTTAAAGTTCCAGATTTTGGTGTAAAATCATTCGCGGTCAAATCTAATACAGCGTTAATGTTGCATTATATGCGAAACTGATATATTAAGTAACAAATTGATGCTTAGTATTGTTTATAATATTAAATGAAACAAAATATATAAATCTTGAATGGTTTATATTTTTAAATTTGAAATTTAAGTAAAAATTATGAAAAACAAAGTTTTATTCATTTTGTCAAGTTAATTCTTGAAAGAATTCAATCTGCTTGAAAAATAATAATAAGCAATGCAATTAAGCATTCCTAATATTTATCTTGTACTTTGTACTGTAGGGTATACAAAAATGTAAAAAAAGTTCTTCAAATTTAAATTTTAGCCAGCTGTTCACGATTACACTCTGCAAAATTTTTCCGATGTTTGTCAACCACTTGGAGCAAAATTGTTTTTGTTCTTCGTCCATGGTGATACTGTCATTGAAATTTGTTATCAATGCTACACTTCGCTCTGCAGAGTCATTGATACAAGCCAGATTCTTTACAAAATCTGCTGCAACTTTAAAAGATGGTGTATCTGACCATGCTTGAACAGGAACATCTTGAAAACTGGCATCAATGTTGGATGTTTCAAAAAATGTGGTAGAAGCACGCAAATCAACAACACTTTTTGGTAGTGTTTTTATGAGATGCGGTCCACGTTCTGATTGCATTGTCCGAACAAGGCCAGTTTTTTCTTTGTCCGACAAAAGGGTTGAAAATAACACAAGCGTCGACAGTTCCGGACTCAAGTACCACGAGTGACGCACCATCATTTTCAATCCAGTCGATCGAAGAACAGCATCATCATATTCGTATAAACGCTGTATCAACAAGATATCATTCACAGGTGCATCTGCGGTGAGCCTGCATGAAAACCATGATTGAAGATAAACACATATGGTAAACCGATTAAAGCGCTGAATACCTTGTAATTCTCGAGCTGTTAACTGAAAGATGGTTTCGTTGCCTGCAAACAATAGTTCGATTTTCAATGCATAGATTGCTTTCGCCATCCACCTTGCCCTATGTAGGGCACCAGGTCTGCGAATGCTGACATCAACCTCCAACCCAACCATTTGTGCAGCAAGCAGAAGAAATTCCAAATAATCATCACGTGAATGACTGACCTCAAGTTGACATTTGATAAATTCTTTAATCGAATCGGACACGATTATCAAAGGGGCGGATCTGGCTTCGGGTGTGTGGTTTAATTCTGGCCATTTTTCTCGAAACCTCTTAAAAAACAAAATCTCTGGTCCAGTGGATGGTCCAAGACAAACATTGAATGCATCGGAAAGGAGTACTTCCAACATGTGATGACGGCATGCCATCCATAATAGATTACGTCCCAGGGCTACTTCTAACAGAGTGCAAGCTCCATTGAGTCTTCCAGTATTGGAAGCCGTAGTGTCGAAGCACATGCCGATGACCATAGATTCGCACTTCCACGATTTGATATGTTCATATACTGCATCAGCAGCTGCCCGTCCTGACCCGGACCCGGATGCTAACTTGGGAACACCAAGAAGCTTTGTAGTGCCATCGACAAGTGATGAGAGCAGGACAGGTAATCGATCGACGTTGTTGGTAACCTCTCCGGTAACATCGGGCAATAGCTTACCATCCCAATGAACAATTGATTTTGAGGGAATATAGTCTTCTTTTATACATGCTGCAGCTTGTTGACGACGAAGCTTGCGATGACAATGCATTGTGCTCTTGGAAAATACTGCTTAGTTTAAAACAATCAAATCTTCAAAAAATATGCACAAGTTTTGCACATTAGGTATTTTATATGTTTTCTCGCATTTATTACATTTTCTAATTAAGAATCACACAATTTCAACTCTAGTTAATGGTAGCAATGAGGTAAATATAAGTATATTTAAACTTCATTTTATTCATATATGGCATGCAAAAACTGCAAGTTATTTGAGCCACGATTCGTCTGCATTTTTATGTTGGCCTAATACTGGAATTTTAAAAGCTCTTGGGGGACCTCTAAATGTTTTTCAAATGAGCTACAACTTCACCAATTCACTCATTGTACCCAAGAGACACATTTCAGGGGGTGAGACACCAAAGATTAAAAAAAAAAAATTTTCCAAGCATTTCTGGGACGCCCTAACCCTAACATCACAACACCACTTAACCCTAACATCACAACACCACTTAACCCTAACATCACAACATCACTTAACCCTAACATCACGACACCACTTAACCCTAACATCACAACATCACTTAACCCTAACATCACAACATCACTTAACCCTAACATCACGACACCACTTAACCCTAACATCACAACATCACTTAACCCTAACATCACAACACCACTTAACCCTAACATCACAACACCACTTAACCCTAACATAACAACATAGCTTGACCCTGACTTTACAAACCTCGTAATGATGTTTTTCTGTTGTTTTTTTTAAAGTCAGCCACCTTGAATTTATTGATTTTTAACAGACGTTTAATTCCTTTCAATATCCAATATACACGATCGATTAGCTTTAGTCAATATTCTATTTCGAATTAAATTTCCAGCTTTTAACCAATAATATTATTTTAAAACGTACATTTCTCTTAACTCACGGAGACGTATAAGGTTAAAATACTTCTAATATATTA